GGGCATCTCAGGACGTTAGTCCTATCTCCATTTTCTTCTCGTTGATTGACAGTGTGACCCTCTCTGCTCATCCAAGCTGAAAAGATAGAAGGTTTACCCACTGCTTAAATAATCACTCTCCATAAGTACAAATACCTAAAAGACGTGGTGTTTATTAAAACCCAGTCAACTTAGAGCAAGGCTGAAAAGACTAAGTTTATTTTTGGTCAAAGGTGAAGCTTTCAACCAATAAATCCACTAGAATACAAGGTAAGCATGTACTTACAGTAGTGTTGGGAGCTGTGAGTCGAGTGATTTACTGTTTGACCAGAGCCCCCACACGTCACCTTTGGGGGGGGGGGGGGGAAGGAGGGAAGGGATAGCGGGAGCTAGACTGCCCCTCCCTTAACAAGCAGCCGGCAGTCAAACTATCACTTTCGGGGAGGGGGAGAAAAAGGGGGGGGGAATAGCGGGAGCTTGACTTACCCTACCTTAAAAGTAGCCGGCAATGAAACTATTGTTAATATATACCCTGGCTACTCCTATCTATTGAACTTTTCCCTCAAATGGTAGAGCATTGGACTGTCAATTTACAGACCACAGTTCAAGCTCCCATACACCCTTCTGTTTATTCATTAACATTTGTTTATTACAACTTAATTTGAGTCCTTTTGTTATTAAGTTTACTGCTAGGTAGGTGACTTGGAGTAGCAAGTGTCAGGAGACTTTCCCATACATTTTGCTTCCCCCAAAACTGAATCTTGGTCTTCATGGGGTATGAGCCAAATGTACTTAGGGGATAGTACCTGCCGGGGGTGGTTGCTGTCTACCAACCTACTATCACGGATGTTTTATGATAATAACAAACATGTCATCATGCTCATGTTTTTGGTTGTTCACACTGTCACCTTGATCTTAACACCCCACCTCTGCATTCTTCTTGTGGAAACGCTTTACAAGCTGTTGCTGTGTCCAAGTTGCTTGTGGTAGAATGTGTCATTGTCCAAGGTGCTTGTGGTAGAATGTGTCATTGTCCAAGGTGCTTGTGGTGGAGCATGTCACTGTCCAAGTGCTTGTGGTAGAGCATGTCACTGTCCAAGGTGCTTGTGGTGGGCATGTCACTGTCCAAGGTGCTTGTGGTGGAGCATGTCACTGTTCAAGGTGCTTGTGATGGAGCATGTCACTCTCCAAGGTGCATGTGGTGGAGCATGTCAACTCTCAAGATGCATTTGGTGGAGCATGTCACTGTCCAAGGTGCTTGTGGTGGAGCATGTCACTGTCCGAGGTGCTTTGATGAAGCATGTCATTGTCCAAGGTGCTTGTGATGGAGCATGTCACTGTCCAAGGTGCTTGTGGTGGAGCATGTCACTGTCCAAGGTGCTTGTGGTGGAGCATGTACTGTCCGAGGTGCTTATGATGAAGCATTTTCATTGTCCAAGGTGCTTGTGATGGAGCATGTCACTGTCCAAGGTGCTTGTGGTGGAGCATGTCACTGTCCAAGGTGCTGTGGTGGAGCATGTCACGTCCAAGGTGCTTGTGATGGAGCATGTCACTTTCAAGGTGCTTGTGATGGAGCATGTCACTCTCCAAGGTGCATGTGGTGGAGCATGTCACTCTCCAAGATGCATTTGGTGGAGCATGTCACTGTCCAAGGTGCTTGTGGTGGAGCATGTCACTGTCCGAGGTGCTTATGAGAAGCATGTCAATTGCCCAAGGTCTTGTGATGGAGCATGTCCTGTCCAAGGGGGCTTGTGGTGGAGAATGTCACTGTCCAAGTGCTTGTGGGGGGAGCATGTCACTGTCCGAGGTGCTTATGATGAAGATGTCATTGTCCAAGGTGCTTGTGATGGAGCATGTCACTGTCCAAGGTGTTTTGTGGTGGAGCGGGTCACTGTTCAAGGTGCTTGGGGTAGAGCATGTCACTGTCCAAGGTGCTTGTGGTGGAGCACATCAAATCACCTCGGATGGGATAAAGCATACTCTGTGTAAAAGACACATGCAACCACTTTTGGTAAGAGAAGGTGAGATTTTGTTGAATTCTAAATTTAAATTTTCACAAGAATCTTCACATCCAGACTGAGTTTATAGATGAGGTGGCTGAGGTAGATTCTTGAGAGGCAACCACTTACCTTGGAAATAAAACACATAAGCAGCTAAATTTTGATTTCCCTTTTTTGGGCAACGTTTCACCCCCACAATGGGCTTTATCAAGTCATGATTATATACCAAGCAGCCCAAACCCGAAAGGGATATTTTAAATCACAGTTGCTGATAGTTATGTGAATATTCCTGTGAATCAAGCTCTTCGTCATCGATCAAGGTAGCATTGAGGTAGAAACTGCGTCACCCCTACAACATTTATGAAATTAATTAAAAAAATTAGTATTCATATTTGAGCAGGAAGTAGTGATAAACAATTTGTAAACAGTTTCTCATCAGTTGAGTGAGACTGAGAAACATTTGGGTCACGTCAGGAACTTAGATGGAGGACCTGACCACCTGATCCACAAATACATATTTGTTTTTTTAAAGTTTCTGTACTTGTTTCACCCATGATAGTTGTGAAGTTTAGTTGTAAGTATGTAGTGACTTAAAGTGTGACTTACAAGTGCATTATAATAGTTATCAATACAGTGGTCCCGATAATCGTGTTCTCAGGAATCGTAGATTCGGAAATCTAGGATATTTTCGTATAAACAGGGCTTCGTAATTGTAGGTTGACTGCGAATAGTAGGTCATTTCCCGGGGCGCGTACACATGCTGTGAGCCGGGGCGGCCTCCCCCCCAGCCAGTGTGGCATTGTTTACCCGTGAGCGAAGGTCCCTCCCCTGCTCCTACGAAATATTTCATAATACTCCACTCATTTTAGTGCTTGCAAGTACTAAATAAGCTACCATGGCTCCAAAGAAAACTCTAGTGCCAAGCTGTGGTAAAGAAGGTGAGAAATACGATTGAATTTAAGAAAAACATCATTGAACAATATGAAAGTGGCACAAGTGCGGCCAAACGGCCAGGATGTATAAGAAACCCTACACAACCTTATGTTCCATCGTGGCTAAGAAAGAGGAAATCAAGGACGCTGTTGTTGCAAAGGGGTTAAGTATGCTGAGAAAAATGAGATCACCAGTACTCAAAGATGTGAGAAGTGTAATTATTGGTGTGGATAAAACGAAAACAATTAGCAGGAGATACTCTTATAACTTTGATTATTTTGTGAAAAGGCTAGACAGTTGCACAATGAAACTGGTAAAGAAATTGCCTGCAACGAGTACTAATATTTGTGAATTTAAGGCCAGCAAAGGTTGGTTTGAGAGACTTAAGAACCGTAGTGGCATTCACAGTGTGGTAAGGCATGGTGAGGCTGCCAGTTCGGACCACAAGGCGGCTGAAAAATATGTGCATAAATTCAAGGAGTACATAGAGGCTGAAGGGTTGAATCCTGAACAAGTGTTCAATTGTGATGAAGCAGGCCTCTTTTGGAAGAAAATGCCAAAGAGGACCTTCATTACACAGGAGGAAAAGGCAATGCCAGGACACAAGCCTATGAAAGACAGGCTGACGCTCATGTTCTGTGCTAATGCTAGTGGGGATTTCAAAGTGAAGCCATTACTAGTGTACCATTCTGAAAATCCCAGTGTGTTCAGGAAAAAAACAATGTTATGAAGAGTAAATTGTTGTGTGTTTTGGAAATCTAATAGTAAGGCATGGGTCATGAGGGAAATTTTCGTCGAGTGGTTCAATGAAGTGTTTGGCCCTAGTGTGAAGAATTACCTCCTGAAAAAGAAATTGGATCTTCAAGTGCCTGCTAGTAATGGATAATGCACCTGCTCATCCTCTAAACTTGGATGACCTAATTTTCGAGGAGTTTGGGTTCATCACAGTAAAGTTCTTGCCCCGAATACCACTCCTCTCCTCCAGCCCATGGACCAGCAGGTCATTGCAAACTTTAAAAAAACTCTACACCAAAGCAATGTTTCAAGGTGCTTGACTGTGACCACAGACACTCACTTGACCCTAAGAGAATTTTGGAGAGAACACTTCAGCATCCTCCATTGCATAACCCTTATAGGTATGGCTTGGGAGGGAGTGGCTACCAGGACTTTGAACTCTGCTTGGAGAAAATTGTGGCCAGATTGTGTCGACAAAAGGGATTTTGAAGGGTTTGGGACTGACCCTGATGAGCCTATGTCTGTTGTTAAATCAACTGTGGCACTGGGGAGTTCCATGGGGTTGGATATGAGTTTGGAGGATGTGGAAGAGTTGGTGGAAGACCACAACGAATAGCTCACCACTGAGGAGCTGCAAGAGCTTCAGCAGGAACAGCAACAGATTGCAGCTCAGAATCTTGCTGCAGAGGAGGAAGAGAGATGGAAGAAGGTGCCTTCCTCAGAAATTAAAGAGATTTTTGCTATGTGGGGTAAGATGGAAAGATTTATGGAGAAACATCACCCTGGCAAGGCTGTTGCAAGCCATGTTGGCAACATGTTCAGTGACAAAGTCTTGGGCCATTTTAGGAAAGTGTTAAAGAGACGCCAGAAACAGAGCTCTCTCCACAGTTATTTTGCGAGACAGGACTCCAGCGACTCAAGCCGGTCCTAGTGGCATTAAGAAACAGAGAAGAGAAGCAACCCCAGAAAAGCAATTGGTACCTGAGGTGTTGCTGGAAGGGGATTCCCCTTCCAAACTGTAAACAATCCAATCTCTCTCCTCCTCCAGTCTCCCATACACTAAGAGAATCTCCAATAAAGATCAGTGTTATGCTGTTAATGTTTCATTCATCATTTCCCATTGTATTGTTTATGTACTACATCTGTATTTCATGTAAAATTTTTTTTTGTTTTAATACTTCTGGGTGTCAGGAACAGATTAATTGTATTTACATTATTTCTTATGGGGAAAATCGTAGATTTCGATAATAGTAGCAACTCCAGGAATGGATTAACTACGAAAAACGAGGGACCACTGTACTTGTGTTAACAACAACACTTGTGTTACTAATACTGTTGTGTTATCTTTGACAGGTGAGGTGGTCAGATATATGCGGATACCAGCATGTCAAGACTAAGTTACAGGTGAGCTATTGTTAGTGTTATTGTTGTTGTTATTGCTCAATATGAATGTTGCCTACAAAAAGAATTGCCGGTGTTTACAAATTCATATTTTGTAATGAACATTGTGGGAACACTCAGTGTTACTACTGCTGAACAGTAATTCCTTACTTAACGTCGTCAATAGGTTCTTGGAAACTGCAACTTCAAGTGAAGCAATGTATAAGGAAACCAATTTTACCATAGACTAATTGATATAAACAAGAGCTAAAGTCCTACAACAAGGGAGAGCTGAGAGGGAGGGCAGTAATGCTCCAGACGCCATTACTGTGGAGAACGTCGCTCTGTGGCACTATGAAGCTGTATATTTGCTCTTTTATTAACATTTTTGTTATTTTAGGTATCACACATTTTCAGAATTACAGTGGACCCTCAGTTAACAATATTAATCCATTCCAGAGAGCTTGTCCTTAACTGATTTTATCGTTATCCAAATTAATTTTCTCCGTAGGAAATAATGGAAATCCAATTAATCCGTTCCAGACACCCAAAAGTATTAAAAAAATAATTTTTTTTCACATGAAATACAGTGGACCCCCGCATACCGATTTTAATCCGTGCAAGAGGGGTCATTGTTATGTGAAATAATCGGTATGCGAATGAATTTTCCCCATAAGAAATAATGGAAATCAAATTAATCCGTGCAAGACACCCAAAAGTATGAAAAAAAAAAATTTTTTTACCACATGAAATGTTAATTTTAATACACACAAACTGAAAAAGGCATGCACACTTACATGACACTTACTTTTATTGAAGATCTGGTGATGATTGATGGGATGGGAGGAGGGGAGAGAGAGTGTTAGTGTTTAGAAGGGGAATCCCCTTTCATTAATACTTGAGGTGTCGAGTCCTTTTCTGGGGTTACTTCCCTTCTTCTTTTAATGCCACTAGGACCAGCTTCAGAGTCACTGGACTTCTTTCGCACAACATATCTGTCCATAGTGGCCTGTACCTCTCGTTCCTTTATGACTTCCCTAAAGTGTTTCACAACATTGTCAGTGTAATAATCACCAGCACGGCTTGCAATAGCTGTGTGAGGGTGATACTCATCCATAAAGGTTTGCACTTTCAGCCACATTGCACAGATTTCCTTAATCTTTGTAGTAGGCAACTTCTTCAATTTCTCTCTCCCCTCCTCTGAACCAGTTTTCTCAGGTCTGGCCTCTTGCTCTTGAAGTTGATCTATCAGCTCATCAGTGGTTAGTTCTTCATTGTCCTCCTCCACCAACTCTTCCACATCCTCCCCACTAACCTCCAACCCCAAGGACTTTCCCAATGCCACAATGGATTCCTCAACTGGCATAATCCTCTCAGGGTTAGCCTCAAACCCTTCAAAATCCCTTTTGTCTACACATTCTGGCCACAGTTTCTTCCAAGCAGAGTTCAAGGTCTTCTTAGTCACTCCCTCCCAAGCCTTACCTATAAGGTTTACACAATTGAGGATATTAAAGTGCTCTCTCCAAAACTCTCTTAGAGTCAATTGAGTTTCTGAGGTCACTACAAAGCACCTTTCAAACAGAGCTTTTGTGTACAGTTTCTTGAAGTTTGCAATAACCTGCTGGTCCATGGGCTGCAGGAGAGGAGTGGTATTAGGAGGAAAAAAACTTGATGTTAATGAATTTCATGTCCCCATAAAGTCGCTCTGCCACGTCTGTAGGATGACCAGGGGCATTGTCTAACACCAGGAGGCACTTAAGTTCTAATTTCTTTTCAGTTAGGTAATCTTTCACATTGGGGGCAAATGCATGGTGTAACCAGTCATAGAAAAAGTCCCTAGTGACCCATGCCTTACTGTTTGCCCTCCACAGCACACACACATTCTCCTTGAGGACATTCTTTTGCCTGAACGCTCTGGGAGTTTCAGAGTGATACACTAATAAAGGCTTAACTTTGCAGTCACCAGTAGCATTGGAACACATCAACAAAGTAAGCCTGTCTTTCATAGGCTTATGTCCTGGGAGTGCCTTTTCCTCCTGAGTAATGTAGGTCCTGCTTGGCATTTTCTTCCAAAACAGGCCTGTTTCATCACAATTAAACACTTGTTCAGGTTTCAGTCCTTCAGTCTCTATGTACTTCTTGAATTCCTGCACATATTTTTCAGCCGCTTTGTGGTCCGAACTGGCAGCCTCACCATGCCTTATCACACTATGTATGCCACTACGCTTCTTAAATCTCTCAAACCAACCTTTGCTGGCCTTAAATTCACTCACATCAGCACTAGTTGCAGGCATTTTTTTAATTAAATCCTCATGCAACTTCCTAGCCCTTTCGCTTATGATCGCTTGAGAGACGCTATCTCCTGCTAGCTGTTTTTCATTTATCCACACCAATAAGAGTCTCTCAACATCTTCCATCACTTGCGATCTTTGTTTCGAAAACACAGTTAAACCTTTGGCAAGAACAGCTTCCTTGATTGCCTTTCTGGTGCCCACAATAGTAGCGATGGTTGATTGGGGTTTCTTGTACAACCTGACCAGGTCGGCGATACGCACTCCACTTTCATACTTATCAATGATCTCTTTCTTCATTTTTATTGGAATTCTCACCCTTATTGGTGTAGGGTTGGCACTAGAAGCTTTCTTGGGGCCCATGGTCACTTATTTTCCAGAAACAGCACCGAAAACACTGTAATAATACGAAATATTCCGATTGTATGCTTGGATGTTACCGCGGAGGCTGGCTGGTAAACAATGGCACGGGCGGCACATGTGAGGCTGGCTGAGGGCGCACATTGGACGCGTCTCGGACGAAAATCGGTGAGCGGGTTTTTAAGCGGTATGCGAGGCAAAATTTTTGCGATTAAAGCAAGCGGTATGCGGATTAATCGTTATGTGGTGCCATCGGTATGCGGGGGTCCACTGTATACATTTTCCTAAACAGAAAACAGTGAGACACGCAGAATAAATTATTTATTATTTATTGGCTCTACTAACGATAAAAAACTCAGTGAAGGACATTCATCCAGAATGTATCCGCGTGGCCCGAGCTGCCCAGCCACTCCAGTGATGGAGTGAATGATGGTGAAAGTTTTTCTTTTTTGGGCCACCCTGCCTTGGTGGGAATCGGCCAGTGTGCTAATAAATAAATATTTTTTTTATTAGCACACTGGACGATTCCCACCAAGGCAGGGTGGCCCGAAAAAGAAAAACTTTCACCATCATTCACTCCATCACTGTCTTGCCAGAAGGGTGCTTTACACTACAGTTTTAAACTGCAATATTAACACTCCCTCCTTCAGAGTGCAGGCACTGTACTTCCCATCTCCAGGACTCAAGTCCGACCTGCCGGTTTCCCTGAATCCCTTCATAAATGTTACTTTGCTCACACTCCAACAGCACATCAAGTATTAAAAACCATTTGTCTCCATTCACTCCTATCAAACGTGCTCATGCATTCCTGCTCGAAGTCCAAGCCCCTCTCACACAAAACCTCCTTTACCCCCTCCCTCCAACCTTTCCTAGGCCGACCCCTACCCCACCTTCCTTCCACTACAGACTGATACACTCTTGAAGTCATTCTGTTTCGCTCAGTAAATACATTAATAATTCATAAAATGACACTTACCTTTATTGAAGATTTAGCAATGAGACAGGAGGAGGGGAGAGGATGAAGGTGTATTATTGTTTGGAAGGAGAATCCCCTTCCATAAGGACTTTAGGTAGCAAGTCCTTTTCTGGGGTTACCTCCCACTAGGACCAGCTCGAGAGTCACTGGACCCCTGTCGCACCAAAAATCAGGGGGTTTCAGAGTGATACACCAGTAAAGGCTTCACTTTGCAATCCCCACTAGCATTACTACAAAACATGAGAGTTAGCCTGTCTTTCATAGGCTTGTGTCCTCGGAGTGCCTTTTCCTCCTGAGTAATTTAGGTCCTGTTTGGCATTTTCTTCTAAAACAGGCCTATTTCGTCACAATTGAACACTTGTTGGGGTTTTAATTTTTCAGCGTCTGTGTACTCCTTAAAGTCCTGCACATAATTTTCAGCTGCTTTTTTGTCAGAACTGGCAGCCTCACCATGCCTTATCACACTGTGTATGCCACTACGATTCTTAAATCTTTCAAACCAGCCTTTGCTGGCCTTAAATTCATCAATATCAGCACTAATTGGAGGCATTTTATTAATGAGATCAATATGCAACTGCCTTGACTTTTCATATATAATTGACTGAAGCACTATCTCCTGATAATTGTTTGTCATTGATCCACACCAACAACAGTCTCTCCACATCTTCGAATATTTGTGATCTCTGTTTTGTAAGCACATTTGCATCAGGGAAGAGAGAGGTGAAGGTTTATAAACTAAAAGAGGAGGCAGTTAGGGTAAGATATAAACAGCTATTGGAGGATAGATGGGCTAATGAGAGCATAGGCAATGGGGTCGAAGAGGTATGGGGTAGGTTTAAAAATGTAGTGTTAGAGTGTTCAGCAGAAGTTTGTGGTTACAGGAAAGTGGGTGCGGGAGGGAAGAGGAGCGATTGGTGGAATGATGATGTAAAGAGAGCAGTAAGGGAGAAAAAGTTAGCATATGAGAAGTTTTTACAAAGTAGAAGCGATGCAAGGAGGGAAGAGTATATGGAGAAAAAAGGGGAGGTTAAGAGAGTGGTGAAGCAATGTAAAAAGAGAGCAAATGAGAGAGTGGGGGGAGATGTTATCAACAAATTTTGTTGAAAATAAGAAAAGTTTTGGAGTGAGATTAACAAGTTAAGGAACCCTAGAGAACAAATGGATTTGTCAGTTAAAAATAGAAGAGGAGAGTTATTAAATGGAGAGTTAGAGGTATTGGGAAGATGGAGGGAATATTTTGAGGAATTGTTAAATGTTGATGAAGATGGGGAAGCTGTGATTTCGTGTTTTAGGGCAAGGAGGAATAACATCTTGTAGGAGTGAGGAAGGGGCCAGTTGTGAGTGTGGGGGAAGTTCGTGAAGCAGTAGGTAAAATGAAAGGGGGTAAGGCAGCCGGG